GTAAAGGAGCGCAAATTCGGTTTTGGATTCGTGGTAGGAGAGAGACTCCGTCGCCGAGAACTGGCGTTCACCCCAGTGGACGAACGCCTAGCCACAATCCGCATCATAGCGAGATTCTTCAACATCTCGTTCATCTGCGGCCATGCCCCGATGGAAGAAAAGTACGAGGCGTCTAAGGATCTCTTCTATGAGCGCTTACAGCCTACATATGAGCGCTGCCCGCGACACGATGTTAAAATCGTGTCCGGCGATTTTAATGCTAAGGTGGGCAAGGAAGGGATCTTTGGCGCCATTGTCGGAAAATTCAGCCTCCACGACGAAACGTCCGATAACGGACTGAGGCTGATCGGCTGCACCGGACCCGAAACATGGTAATATATAGTACTAGGTTCCAGCATAAGAACATCCACCAAGCTACAGGGCTGTCTCCAGATCGAAAAACGAGAAACCAAATCGAACACGTTGTGATTGCACAGAGGCGGGTGCGTATCTTGGCTAGAACAAGATAGTGGTCCGAGTCGATGTTTGGCCCTCGCAGTGTACGTACGTCTAAAACGCTAGAAGCATGCCTGCCGTCTATCACAACGTGTTCGATTTGGTTTCTCGTTTTTCGATCTGGAGACAGCCCTGTAGCTTGGTGGATGTTCTTATGCTGGAACCTAGTACTATATATTACCATGTTTCGGGTCCGGTGCAGCCGATCAGCCTCAGTCCGTTATCGGACGTTTCGTCGTGGAGGCTGAATTTTCCGACAATGGCGCCAAAGATCCCTTCCTTGCCCACCTTAGCATTAAAATCGCCGGACACGATTTTAACATCGTGTCGCGGGCAGCGCTCATATGTAGGCTGTAAGCGCTCATAGAAGAGATCCTTAGACGCCTCGTACTTTTCTTCCATCGGGGCATGGCCGCAGATGAACGAGATGTTGAAGAATCTCGCTATGATGCGGATTGTGGCTAGGCGTTCGTCCACTGGGGTGAACGCCAGTTCTCGGCGACGGAGTCTCTCTCCTACCACGAATCCAAAACCGAATTTGCGCTCCTTTACGTGGCAACTGTAGTGGACATGGCAAGGTTTAACACTTACTTTTCCTTGCCCCATCCATCGCATTTCTTCGTTGCCGGTGACGTCAGTCTTTGTCTTCCCGAGGACATCAACCAGCCGGGCAGAGGCACCTTCCCCATTAAGGGTCCGGATTTAAATACTAATACTTTCTGAAACCCCTTTCGTTTGGCACTCATATGGTGATACATACAAATTTCTCTTTCCTAATTCCCGTAATTCAAATTGAATTAAATTTTTTAAACAGGCGGAAACCCTCGTATAGTTCAGTTAAGAAACAAAGCTTTTCAAAACCAGCTCGATTATACCCATTTTGTGATAATTGATATATTTTTTGAATAATTTGATAATAAGTTTTCAAAAAAGTAAAATTTTTTTTGCACATCTCCAGTCCAAACGTTTACATATGACACCTCACTTTGTTATGAAATAAAAAATCACAGACTTATTAATTTTGAAACGTAGCAAAATTTAATTTTAATGTTCGGCTTCGGCTTCGGTGCTCGGCGGGATATTGAATAGTACCTTATATTAGGCTTCGACTTCGGCCAAAATTCCAGCTTCGGTCGGACACTAATAAAAGCGGAAAGGGAAGGTTTAAGTCAGCCCTGGGCAGCGTCCGCCTGGCGGGCATATATGTGTATACATACACACTTTGCTTGAGAAGGCAGCGAAGGCTTCATTCAACTGCACGACTTGCTCATATGCACACAGTGACATCAATTGCACGCACACTACAAAAATGCTCTGCCGAGGCTGCCCACCTCTGGTTTAAAGACACAATTGCAAAGGTCAATTATACAACAATCAAGTACCTATGGCTAGGATACATTTAGGAGTTCTGAAAGGGATTTCAAATACCAAGACGTTAGCAGATTTCATTCCATACAGATCCGGTCTTCACATTATTTTCGAGATCTAGGCATCGATGGATGGGACGTTCTGAAATAAAATAAAATAAGGAGTGCCAATCCAATTGCCATTAAAAGCTTACCACCTCAGCTCCACAGCGGTTGCTTTGATACTCACATTAAAAGATTACCTAGGTGATGATAAAGAAGCTCTGAATTGTTTTCAATATGTCAATAAACCAATTTAATCTTTTTCGCTCTTTTATGGTGATGAAAGTGGCGGTGGCACGGTTTGGGCCAAGCTGGCAGGTCTGGCCAAGAGACCGTACATAAATTTAGTTGGTTAAGTGGAGACTACGTCCCCTCGTCTCCCGGTTCAATCCTATCATTCAAAGAATTGCCAAAATCCATATCAAAGCTAATTTCAACAACAAGGATTTCGGCTCGAAAATTCTATCAGAACAGTAAAGCAATAATCAAATGGTTTCTGAGCGTATTGAAATATCTTAGTGTACTGAAATGTGGTTGGTGCATCCGTTTTTAATCACAGCGAACTGGGTAAAAACACTCTTGCCTCTACGGATGAGGTGGTTGGCTACAACCACCCACGAAGGAACAGCTGGTATGACCACCCTGCAGCCTATAGGTACGCGAACGATTGCTGAATGATACCGGGAAAAGAGGCGGGAGGAGGGTCGTCTATTCAAGAGGAAGAAACCAGAGGCAGAAAAACGTAAGTGCGAGATGCTGGAGAGGGGATTTCTGCTCGAAAATTTTATCATAAAAATAAGGCAACAATCAAATTACTTCTGAGTGTACTGAAATTGGGATTATGCATCCGCTTAAAATCACAGCGAACTGGGTAAAAACGCGTCATGTGTCGAGAAGCTGCAGTCACAGCGGATAGCCGTGAAACAAGAAACTCCGTCCCCAGCCTCTTCTTGCCACGACGGATGAGGTGGTTGGCTACTACCATCCACGAAGGATCAATTGGTTCGACGAGGAGTGCCGCGTTGTGGCTGCAGAAAAATATGCAGCATACATAGCCACCCTGCAGCCCATATATAGGTACGGGAAAGTTAGCTCAGCGATACCGGGAGAAGAGGCAGGAGGAGGGTCGTCTATTCATAAAAACGAACCAGATTCAGAAAAACGTAAGTTTCAGATGCTGGAAGAAGGGATTGCGGCTCGAAAGTTCTATCATAAAAATAAGGCAACAATAAAATGGTTTCTGAGCGTATTGAATTCCTGAGCGTACTGCAATTTGGTTATGCATCCGTTTTGAATCAAAAGGCTGGTATTGACACTTGCGAAGCGAATAAAGTTTTCGAAGCGAGCGGTTTGGGGAACATACCTCAAATTTGCATTGTGAGTGGCGAATGAACTTTTTCGCCGGACATACTTGGTTGCCATTCAAACAAATTAAGTTCATCCTCATTTGACAATTCTGTCATTTATACTTCGAATTCCTTAATTTGATACAAACTCAGATTTAAAAGGAAAAAATGTTCTATATTTTGAGGATAGCTAAAATTTTGAATCGCGAGTTAACCTTCTTCGTCAGCGGCGTTTTATAAGAGATTATTTCAATCCTATGGAGCTGCCGTCCACAGTGTAAGTATCCAGTGCAGATAGGTTATTTAATGAAAAATTTTTCAAATCTTACAAACTAGCATGAAACCTAAAATTTCTGCCGCAATGCGTAGAATTTTTTTTAATTTTTTTTTAGATATATATTTATTGGGGTTGTTGCGGCTGTCGCACTGCCTTCGCTTCCCTATATTTAAGTTATTACAATCCAGTAGGCTGTGTTCGGTCGGAAAGGACAAGTTTCTGAGCCGCACTGACACTGGTGTTGGGTAGTCGGTCTGAAAGGACGAGCTCCAGAGTCGAAATTGATATTGCGGATATCGAAATTTGTTATATTGCGCATCATTTGAAAATATAGGAAAAATCCTTTCTCTTTAGTCTTCTTCCATATCTCGGGCTAAGAAGATCTCTCGGCAATCGATTTGGATGGTTCATTAACCGTGGTGAGTAACTGGTGCTTATCCCTCTTATGTCTTCACGCACCGTATTTACATTTTTTTCTCGAAATATTGGAGGGATATTGGCCAAACTGAATTCAAATTCGGATTCTGCGGGTCGAGATACATAACCATAGGTAGGTCCGGTAAAATGCACATCACACTAATTTTTTTTTGTGTGCCGGTGCTATTAGTGCGAGAGCTTCTTCAGGCGAAATTCCTTTAGGACTCTTCTTTGCCAATATGATCTTCTTTATAGCAGTACCTCTTTCTGGAGAAGCACTTAAAAGCTCATTAAGTACCGTAGCCGAAAATCAAATTTTTAGTTCCGTGGCCAAAAAGAAATACATCAATAACTTTCGAAAGCTCATTAGCTTTCTTCATTTTAAATTTTTGGCAACAATCTTCAAAACTGTTAGCTGGCCTACCAGCAGAAAATGTCGGCTTACCAAACTTAGAAACACAAATTGTGACAAGTCTATTTCAAATTCGAGCCAATCTTTATTTGCAGTAACAAACCGCTCTCTTTTTCGGAAAACTTTTATCCGCTTTAGGTCCGAATTCTGAATTAACTTCGCACGTATGATTTCAATTTAAAAAATTTGATTCTATCACTAGATCATAAACTGATATTCCCTGGTACAAAATCCATTATTCCATCAAGTCTTTAATTTTTACGGGTCGGCAGCCAAAAATCAAAAATTTCCTGTCTTGAAATTTTTGGATTCATTTTGAAAATTGAAAATAAATGTACGGGTGTCGCAGCTGGCCGCAGAATTTTTTTGTGGATTCTATTAGTATATGCATCAGTTGAGAGAAAAAGTATAGTAAGTGATCTATATATGGCGGACCATATAAGAAAGATTTCTTCTACAAAAACAAAAAATTAATAATTTAGTACTCACCAAAAAGATTAAAACTTTATCAACTCGAACAAAATATGTGCGTCCACTTCGGTAATAATTTTTACATTTCCTGAATTTTCCTACTTAAAACAATGACGGAGAAAGAAATAAAGTTAAGACAAAGTTTCTTTAAACACGTTATTGAGCCTTAAAAATACTCAGTTTTCGTTGCTCGCAAAATTTCATTTTTCACTTATTGCTTACTATGACTTTTGGATACCGTTATGTTTATATGTAGCGAAATTTTTTCAAACAAAGTTGTATTTACTCTTAAGTAGACAATATTCTTGCATATTTGATAAAAATTTTATTGAAAAATTATAAACAAAAAATCTTATTAAATTACCCTACCATTGCACATTGGACCACTGTGCGATGTAGTGCTTGACGTCATTCCCGTGGAGTGAGGAGTTCTAAGAAATAACATGCTTCTCCTGGTTTTATAGGAACAATTGAGAGCCCCGAAAAACTGTTAAAGTATAAACAGAACGAGTTCGCTGAGTAAATTTCCTCGGAGGGAGCGAAAGCTAGTCCGACGACACGACACGAAGTGCGAATGGACACTCTCCGCTGGTGATACTCGTGACACTGCGTCACTGCTGTCACTGCCGACATCGGTGACACTGGCGATACTGATGACACTTTCTACAGTGGCGACACTGGTGGCACTGGTGACCTTTGTGACATTGGCGACACTGGTGACCCTTGTGACTTTGGCGACACTGGTGTCTCTGGCGACACTGATGTTGCTGGTGACAATATTGACCCTGGCGACACTGGTGATACAGGTGACAATGGCGAAACTGGTGATACTGGTTACACTTTCGGTACTGCCGACACTCGTGACACTGGTGGCACTGGTGACCCTTGTGCCAATGGCGAAACTGGTGACACTGGCGACACTGGTGCTACTGGTGACAATGGTGACCCTGGCAACACTGGTGACACTGGCGTAACTGGCGACACTGGTGATACTGGCGACACTGGTGACATTGGCGAAACTGCTGACATTGGCAACACTGGTGATACTGGCGACACTGGCGACACTGGTTACACTGGTGGCACGGGTTACACTGGTGCCACTGGTGACCTTGGTGACATTGGCAACACTGGTGATACTGGCGAGACTGGTGACGCTGGTGATACTGGCAACACTGGCAGCACTGGTGACAGTGGCGACTCTAGCGACACTGGTGACACTGTTTATACTGGTGACACTGGCGGCACTGGCGAACCTGGTGACTCTGGCGACACTGGTGACACTGGCGACACTGGTGATACAGGTGACAATGGCGAAACTTGTGATACTGGTGACACTTTCGGTACTGCCGACAGTCGTGACACTGGTGGCACTGGTGACCCTTGTGCCATTGGCGAAACTGGTGACACTGGTGTTACTGGCGACACTGGTGTTATAGATGACAATGGTGACCCTGGCGAAACTGGTGACACTAGCGACACTGGTGCTACTGGTGACAATGGTGACCCTGGTGACACTGGTGACACTGGCGAAACTGGTGTGACTGGCGACACTGGTGTTACTGGTGACAATGGTGACCCTGGCGACACTGGCGGCACCGGTCACCCTGGTGGCACTGGCGACACTGGTGACACTGGAAACGCTGGCGACATTTTTGACACTGGTGTCACTGGCTACACTGATGTTGCTGGTGACAAAAGTGACCCTGGCGACACTGGTGACACTGGCAACACTGGCGAAACTAGTGACACTGGCGACACTAGTAACATTGGGGACGCTGGCGACACTGATGACACTGGCGACACTGGTGACGCTGGCGACATTTTTGACACTGGTGTCACTGGCGACACTGATGTTGCTGGTGACAAAAGTGACCCTGGCGACACTGGTGACACTGGCGAAACTGGCGACACTGGTGACACTGGCGACACTAGTAACACTGGGGACGCTGGCGACACTGGACACATTCCCACGACAGCCGGTTCTCATTCCCACGACAGCCGGTTCTACGTAGCGGAATGACTTGGGTTTTACCCGACCAAGGGCTGTTGTTTCGGCGATCTAACCCCGTTTAGGTCGGCGAAGTATCTCAAAAGTTGTTCGTCCATAGGGCTACATTCACTACGTATTCTTCCACTCAGGGCTGGCATCGAGTCAAACCCAGGGCCACCCGAGCAGCCTCACATAGTCACCACAGCACAACAACTTAATAACACCACAGACCATACCGCAGCCACGACAGACCACATAACACACACAACCGCACCACGACCCACACGCCGCCGCCAACAACTCCTGGTTCCCCCTACAATCTGCACGGTATGTCAGCCAGACCAGGCTATTCCGTAATGTGACATCAAACAAGTGCAACACCTGCCTTGGCTGGTGCCACTTTAGGGCATGCTCAGGTCTGCGTACCACGCGAGATTGGACTGGGAACTTCGAGGGCCCGTGTTGCGCTGCTCGGTCGCAGACCTCAACTTCGACGCCTCCCGCCACCACCACAGGGCGGCAACCATCACAGCAACGCACACACCCAATGGCGGTAAGAACACACACATCCCTTACACCCCACATCACAACACGTCTCCCGAACCATATGAAGCTCCTTCAATTTAACTGCAACGGGCTACAGAGCGAGATTGAGGAGATAACCGTCTTCATGTGTCGGCATGGTATATTGATAGCTGCGGTCCAAGAGACGAAGTTGCACAGCAATTCAACTTTATTGAATTGTGCCGGGTACAACGTGCACCGTCAAGATCGCGAGCGAGATAATGGTGGTGGCTTAGCGTTCATCACGCACCACACCGTGCAGTATCGTCTTATCGAAGCAGACATCGACCGCAGGGATACCACCCTAGAATGTCAGGGCATTGCTATCCGGTCAGGCGATGTTGAGCTTGAAATATTTAACATATACATACCCCCTGTCACCTGCTGCCCGGCAGGATATCACCCTGATATAGGTGCGCTCCTCAGAGGTGAAAACCGTATGGTAGTAGGTGACTTCAATGCGCACCACTATCTTTGGCACTCAAGCCTGTCAAACGATCGTTGGGGAACAGACTTGGCTGAGCAGATAGACGATTCGACATTCTGCACAATGAACGACGACGCACCCACCAGGATTATGGGTATCTGCAGTAGCTCGCCAGACATCACCATAGTGAGCGCTGGTCTGATATACAGCATAACATGGCGATCTATGCTGACTTTAGCATCAGACCACCTACCCGTAGTCATCTCGATAGATAAACCAACCGACTTTGCCTCCGCCAAACACCGGACCTATATCAACTTTTCTAAAGCTGATTGGAAAGGTTACGCGGAGTTTATCGAAAACACCTTCACAGCGCTTCCCACATCAACCGACGTTCATCTCGGTGAACGTAAGTTCCGCAGGGCTGTCACTGCTGCTGCAGCTCGCTTCATACCGGCAGGATGTATCACGGACCCACGTCCAAACTTCCCTGCCAAAGCGGCTGTTCTACCCGATGAGCGTGATAGCCTTCGTCAGGCCGATCCCGGAGATCCCCGTATCAGGGATCTCAACGCGGAGATTCGGCAACTAGTAAACGTACATAAGCGAAAGAGTTGGGAGGAGCATCTTAAGACCTGTAACTTCACCTCTGGTGTGAGCAAGCTTTGGTCAACCGTAAGGTCACTGTCCAATCCGACGAAGCACGACGACAGAGTCAAAATTTCCTTCGGCGACCATGCTTCGTCGGACCCGGAGCGATGCGCGAGCTATTTTAGCCAGCAGTTCATACTGCATCCTCCGGTGGACAAAACCAAGCGTCGAGTGACCAGAAGGCTGCACAAACTGCCAACAACCTGTGCCCCCCTTGGTATCACTTGCGGTGAAGTTCAGGTGGCCATCGGGAAGCCTCCAAAGCCATGGGTCGCGACGAAATATGCATGCTGATGCTGAACAATTTTGGTCCTGCGGGGGTAGCGTACCTAACGGAGGTCCTCAATTTGTCTATGGCCACTCTCATCATCCCAGACATCTGGAAGGTGGGGAGAGTGGTCCCACTGCTCAAACCGGGAAACCTGCGAACAAAGGAGATTCTTATCATCGGATGACACTCCTTTCCCCGGTAGCGAAGACACTCGAGGCCTTGCTACTCCCGTATTTCACGAACCACTTGACCCCAGCGAAGAATCAGCATGGTTTCCGTAAAGCGCACAGTACAACAACAGCACTTAACGCCATAAACACTCAGATAACTCGTGGGATTAACCGAAACCGTCCCTGTAGAACGATTCTTGTAACGTTGGACTTGTCAAAGGCGTTTGACACCGTCTGCCATTCCACGCTACTAGAAGATATAGAGGCTTCCTCTCTCCCACAGAGGCTCAAACGGTGGTCGGCAAATTATCTCTCCGAACTATCTCGCTTCTTCACTGCAAAGTGTCTAGCGCTCTCCCCTACGAAATCCTCTGCGACCCTGTTCACAACCTGGACGCAGGAGGTCGGGCTACCGCTGGGAATTCACGTCGGTGACACACCAATTCCGACGGTGATTAACCCCAAAATACTCGGAGTAACATTCGACAACCTGCTCTCCTTCTC